CTGTTTGACGGTTCCTGCTTTCAGATGATTCCTCCGTAAGCAGAAGCACTTGAGAAGACGGCATTAACAAAGACACTCAGCTGTATATTTATTTGCCTGCTTTCAGATGATTCCTCCGTAAGCAGCAGCACTTGAGAACACGGAACTCAGCTGTATATTTATTCACCCTTTCACTTCCTTGTGAATCTGCATTTTTGGCTGGATTCAAGTTACAAGGGTTCGACTACACTGCCTGAAGGAAAGTGTTCACAACGGGGACAGTTACAAAGGTTTTAATTTTTTCAAAAAGATGAAAGCCAATATCTGCTTACTAAATAACTGCTGGGCATCCAGCTGTGGAAGAAACTATACTGCAGGATCTCCTCTCACAAATTGGCATCTTAAACACTGTTGCCAGCTGGCAACGGCTCCTGATGGTCACTGCCCCAACAATCAACTTTTCTTTTTTCCTGAAATGCTACGTCTGAGACCAAGTGAAAATTAAAGATTAAGTTACATGGTTATTGAATGCAGATAGAAATATGCCACAAAAATTATTTTTACAATACATTTCTGCTGAAATAATTTCCTAGGTGAAGCTTTCTTTTTATACACATATACAAAGTTCAGACAGCAATATACACATAATCACAGTGAGGATGCTGGTAAGTTCACCATCTGTAGTGTCGATACAAAATGCAAAGCAGCCTTCGAAGAGAACAATGCTACACAGCAAGCAGAGCTGGCCTGTTAAACAGCAAAACACCAAAAGGTCCCTGAAAATGGGAATACAGTGCAGGAAAAAGCAGCATGCGCTTTGATACAAATAGCAGTTTATGGCTAACGGTTGACTTAACTGTAGTAACAAAGACTCTTGAGTGGCTGTGCGTAGTTAAAATTCCTATGTCATTTGTTTCTCTTTATACCACTCCACGAATTCATCCAGCAATACTGGCCCTGCAAGAGAGAAAGAAAGAGGGTGTTTTTTAACATTTGATTTTGCTCAAAATGAGAAAAATTAGAGGGAACAGCACATTAATATGCTTGCTACAGAAATGGCATTTGTTTTTATGCAAATACATACATGCTCCATCTTCATCGTAATTGCTGAGGTCAAGATTGATGGTTCTGCTGAACTCCAGAACATTGCACCATTGGTCTTTGTTGATAACTTTGTACTTAGATTGCTGCTTGAAAGAAGACTGACAGTTACCGGAAACAGGCTTGGGTAGAACAAATTATTTAAAAATTCACATGAGGGTTTAAGAGTTTCAACCACAATGAGCTCCTTCTACAATAACCTGCTTTAGTATGAAATCTGAACTTACTGCACACAATGACGTCAGACTGAACTTATGACTGTCTTAAGAATGGCTGAAGGGGAGGAAGGTATCAAAAACAAATTGTGGGAAAATGTATACTATATTAAGTGTATATGGCATGATGCTGGGAGCCAGAGACTGGCAAGCTATCATAAGCATTAGTCACTTATCCTTCTAGGTAGCTTTTTCACCCCTCCTCGGCAACTGATTCAATTTAATTAAATATATGCATTTTTTTAAATCAACGTTTACTTTCTACCTTATTCAGAACACTGATCTGCCTAGCTACTATTATTAGCCCTTACTTTTGGTTGAAATTTAGGTTTTTTTAACGGGATGAGCCAGGGCAGTTCCATAACAAATCAGAAAGCTGCAATGGAAATGAGCAGAAATTTCTATTATTTCCCAGTCGACACCTGGGTCATGAACACTGAGTAATCTGAAAAAGCAAAGTAGTGTGTACCAGTGTTCCCTCTAAGCAGAGTTAGTGTGAGCCAGCTCAGTTTTTTAGCCTCCGGTTCACACATTTTTGCCTTGGGTCCGGAAGGATGGCTCCAGAGCAAACTAATTTATGCAGAAGCCAAACTGTTTGCTCACAACTTTAATGCCAGTAGCTGTCAGCTATGCTGCCATGATGTTTATGGGCCAGGGTTCGTTTGCTTAACCTGTGTACCAGCTGATGCTGCATTCCTTAGCTTCCCTATCGCTGATCTTGTAGACTGCCTGTGTAGTGTCTTCCCATTAATTACCCGTGAGACTAGTTTCGATTCCCAGCTTCGGCTCTAACAGACTTGGGCCCCATTCCCGCGCGGGAGTAAGGCCGACTGGCCTAAGGGTGTGTGGGGTGTGTGTGCATACGAATGCCCTATATCTCTCTATGCTTGCTTGAAGGTAGTTACTCCTAACAGTGACTATGTTACTGCATCCATAGTTCTGGCAATAAAGTATAACCTTATGACAAGCGTGTGCTCAGTTGTTTGACTGTGGAACCTGACAGTAGCTCACAAGGTGGAATTTTTGCTCACAAGACTCCATAGCTTAGAGGGAGCACTGGTGTGTACCACTCTCTCAATAATAGTCATTATAATTCTTTAGAAACATTAATTCAACCCTTTAAGGTTGTCCAGTGGCTTCATTCAATTTTAAATTGATATTTTATTGTTCTAAAAACCAGTTAGAATGCACCTTTATTAATGCAAATTTTTAATTTAAATTGGGCGTCTGAGGGATGATTTCAATTCACATGATTTAAATCACAATTCAAAATCAACACCCTGAAACGACCTCTATTTTTAAATT